AGAGAGGTGGTGGGTGCTTTGGGAGGAACGGTTGGAGAAAGGGCTGGAGGGAGGCAGCAATGTCTGGCCTGGCAGGAATAGGCCTTGGGCTATTGATGGTGATTCTGTCTTCCTCTTGTGGGATTAGAGGAGGTCAGAACATGTGGCCTCCTTGCCCTTTTTGCAATACTGTATCTGTTGTTAAATAATTTTAATATCATTCTTTTAATAGCTTATAGGTGAATTCAGGGTTCTTTTATTTTGTTACTCTTAATTCCTTCCACTTCAAGGCTCTGTCTTATAATACGGAAGATTTTCCTGCCTTTGTATTTTTTTCCCCAAAAAACTACTCAGCTTTGTTGATGCTTTTTCTCCCTTTTCCTGCCTTTGCTACGTTATTATAGGTAATGAGGTTGAACATTTTTCATGTGTGTGTGTATTCGTATGTATGTGTATATATACATACTTATATAATTGTTATTTCCTATTCTGTCAACTGTCAGTTTATATCCTTTTGCCTATGCCTATGTGTGGCTGATCATTATTGTACTGATTTTGTAGGAGCTTGTAGATACATATTTTTTAAATTGTATTGTGATTTGGGTGAAAGTTTACAGAGCAAATTCATCTCCATACAGCAGTTCACATTTGCTTTGTCTCGTGACATTGCCTGTAATCTCTCACAGTGCAATAGCTCTCCCACTTCCTCCCCATAGCCACCTCTTTCCTGTGTCCTTCCCTCCCATGTATTCCTGTCCCCCAAGGTGTCTCCCTGTGCATACACAGCCCTTCTATTCTCCCATGATTGATCTCTCCAAGGACTGTACCTCCCTAATGGAAGTGTTCAGCTCATATGCTTGTCTTTTGTTTGGCTGGAAGGCACAGGAGTGGGTTCAATTCCAGACCTGAAGAGCAGCTAGGGGCCATAGTCTCAGGGGCTCTACCAGGCTCTTGCAGCAAACCTGGTCACTTTTTTTTTTTTTTTTTATGATTTTGAGTTTTGCTCCACATTGTTTTGTAGGAGCTTATGTTAATGAGATTTGATCTTTTTCTGTGATGTACACTGATTTTAATTGTCCTGTTTTCCTTTGATATCATTTATGGTGTTTTTTCTTTTTAATCTTATTAATTGCTTTCTATTTTCTAATCTTTGCATATTTTTTCCTTTTTTACTTTTTCTTGATGTATTATTCTTCTTTGGCTCTTTCCCTCTAGAGATTTGAAACTTATACATGCTAATTTTAGTTTTCCCTCAGTTGCTCAGAAATTAACACATTTTAAATGGTTTATCATACTTGAGAATAAATTACTGTCATTTAACATTCTTTTGCCTACCCTCTTTTTCTGTGCTTTATATATTCTTGAATTTTATTCTATATTATTAATGTTAAGAAATTAAGTTTTATAACTCTTTTTTAGTGATTGGTCAGACCTCACAACTCTATCTGTCACCATTGATTTAATGTAAATATAGATTTCTGGTTTGTTTGTATGACTGTTTTTCTCTTTTTCCATTGTATTCTTTCTTGGCCTTCTTATTTTTCCTGGACATCTTAGAATAATTTTCCCCTAAAACAATGAAAAACCTAAACTACGAGATTTTATATGTCCTGAAATGTTTCAGTTTTGCACTCAAACTTGGATAATAATTTGATAGGAAATAAGCTCTTATAAAAGTAATTTTGCTCAAAACTTTGAAAACATCCATATTATAGATGACATGTTCAATCCCAATTTACAAACTAAAAAAATCTGTATAGGACATTACTATAGAGTAAAATTTTAAATACATAAAAGAAGTTGCGAAGTAGCTTTTGTACAACAATTTCTTTTATCCACATGTGGGTAGGATATCCATAGAGAGAGAGAGATTTGAAAGGATGGCTACCAAAATATCATCAGTAGTGATTGTTCTAGTTATCTAATGTCATGTAAGAATCTGTCCCCAAAATAATGTAAAACAACGACCATTTTATTGTGCTTATAGATTCTTTGAGTCAGGAATTCAGGCAGTGTACAAATGGGAGGCTTGAATGGTCACTCCCATGTCTGCTGCCTCAGTTGAGATACCTGAAGGATAAGATTACCTGGGACTGTCACCCTGCTTGGCTGCATGTGGTCTCTCCAGAATGATGATTTTGTGGTAGTTGAACCTCTTAATGGTGGTTCTGGATGCCAAGATCTAGTGAAGCTACATCAGCCTTCTATGACCTAGCCTTGGGAGTCACATAGTGTCATTTTGCCATACTCTTGACTGAAGTAGTCATAAGCCTGCCGGGATTCAAGGGGAGGAGATACAGACCCCACCTTCTGATGCTAAGGGTTTCAGAAAATTTGCAGCTAAACTTTAAAACTACCAATAAGAGTATTAGCTAGTGATGGCAGGGATTTTTTTTTTTTTTCTATCTTTTGTTCACTACTGGTCCCCAGTGCTTAGAAGAATGCCTAGTA